CACGAGGAATGATTTCATCCAGAGAGCGGTTCCAAGTATGGCGGTTCAGAAATGACAGGTCGCGTAAGGTTAATTTACCGAAGTTCAAACATGCTGTACAAAACCATTGTCAGTGGTTAGACGCCAACATACAGGCCGTGTTATACGGTCCACAGTGGTTTAAAGCAAATTACATTGTTGTACGCTACGAAGATTTGACAGATAGGCCATTTGAACTCGTTCCGAAGTTGTATGATTTCATAGGCCTGGATGCGAAAGACATCTCAGCCGAAATGTACAATGTAACGAAGATTGGCAACGGGATGGCGTGGCGACACGTGCTACCGTGGGAGAGAACGTTGATTGCCCAGTCGTCTTGCCCAGGCAATGTGTTTGACGTATTTGGATATGTAAAAGCCAAGAGTGAACACGATTTGCGTGATGAATCATTTCTGCTCATGCGAAACGTTTCAGAAATGTCGGACAGAATACGATTTCTGAAGTAGAACGTTATTGCAACTTCATTAGTAGGCCGTACAGGGCGAGGGTTGAAACATCATACGATTAGTGGGTGAAATGAATTCATTATCTACACAAATTCTAAAACGTGCACGTATATGCAGTTATGATTAAGTATAAATTAGTTAAAGAGCGTGATCGTCGCGTCACGCATGCCGATTGACATTTACTACCCTCGCACTAGGCGTGCGAGGACTGATATTGGTGAGAATGATTTGATACTTATGGCGGTTAACCCACAACGGTGTGTAATTTATATATGTAAATCATTGTACAATACATTGTAAAACACGTTATAATAGATACACGCCGTTGCTTAATACAATGCATGAATCTTAATTTAGATAAAGTGCCACACACAATTAGCTAATCACGTGCTGGCTAAAAAAAGACTTCTGTATTTTACTGTATCTTTAGGTGTGTGTGTATATTGTATTTTGGTCCATCTATCGTGTCATAGAATGACTTAGTAGATAAATTTAACATATTTTGAACATGTTGTATCCCTACACCGGACCATTATTGAACACGACACGCTCAAGCGTCTAAAAATATGTTTAGTAGGTTGTAAAATACAGACGCATAGTCAACATGCTCGGTACGACTCGTAGGGACATATACAACGCATCCAATATTTACATGAAATTCGAACACGTGCCACGACCACCAATCTTTAAAAATGCCGATAATCGCAAACATTATACTATTTTCCATTCAGATATACTGTGGACAATTTGGGAATTTCCTGTTACAAAAATAAAACAAAGGTATAAAAAAATATTTTAAATTCATAGATTACAACTCTTTTTTTTTCCTACTGCTTTGTCAAGCATGGTTTGGATAGTAACGGTAAATAAATCACCCTTTGTTATCAAAGTTTGGAAAAAAATGCTTTATTCTAACCGATTAGAAAATTAACATTTTTATTTTGGTTCCTTTCGAAAAGTTACACTCTAAACACATGCCAAATACGACATACGACCTGTATTTTCGAGGTATGGTTTGCCTATTCAAGAATACACTTACTTGAAGCAAATGACTAGTGAGCACTTGTTTCGAAACTTGGTAACTGCTTCTACAAATTGAGTGATTGCTTGTATCATGGTAAGGAAACACACAAGATAATGCCTTTGTAAGCTATTAAATAAATACATTGTCGACTTGTATTACCACAGCGCTCTTATGGTTGCCACAAGGTGCCGCAAAGAGGAAGTTTAAAAACAAAGTATCAAACCATGGTGCCCCTTATCCCGGGTATATTACTAAACATAGACCTGTTTTCTGAATTGTTTATCCCGCTCATTACCAACAAGTTCCATATTTGATAATTACATTACTTTATTTTCATTCAAGATTGAATAATATCCTTTGGCTTGGCGAAGTTGTTATCGATTGATGGGTGAAATGGAGGTGAATTCCGTGAACACATTGGTGATGCAAGTAAAAATCCAATGCTCACATTTGTATGGGCTAAGAAACATATTGAATACCAAACATCGGGATTATAATTCAAATCACAATTTTCATTTAATAACAATATTATTCGATGCACAAATCATTTTTTTTTTAAATTTTATCGCTATGTCGATGAATATAGTAACAATGTGATGATATAAATTACCATATGATGAACACGTATGTGAGTATGGCTTAGTAGGTTAATGCGCCCGTCTAGAAAGCAGGTACCCTGAATTCGAATCTCAATGGTTCACTTTTTATTTATGTTTATTTTCAAACAATTCATTGTTGATAATTACATTACTTTCACTCGCGATTGAGTACTGGTACACAGGGCTTGGTGAAGTTGCTATTGACTGATATGAAGATGAATCTTGTAAACAAAGCGGAAATCTCAATGCTAAACGAAGACCAAATCATGGAATGTAGGCATTTTGTTTTCTAAATTTACTGTGTTGCTACTTGTTTTTATTGGTTAATCCATTGTGATTTAGATCATGCAAGTGAATACCACAATTATATTTATAATAATTATTGTAAAAATCAAATTATAATTGAAACATTATTTGCCCAAATTAGTAAGAACGGGGAAATGTGACATGCCATATGAAATGATGTAATACAAGTTGGTTAATTATGATGTAATTCGTTTGATAATTACATTGTCACTAATGATCGAGTACTAGTCTATGGTTTGGGAAAGGTGTGAGCAACCTGGGAATCCATCTGACAGACACCTTATGCATATGCAAATGGTCATGAATGATAGTTTCCACAGACCCTGTACTAATCTTGGCCTCTTTGGCTATTTCGCGAACAGTAATGCGTCTATCTTCCAAAATGGCTGCCTCAACTTGACGGACAGATGCCTCATCAATGGCAGAAGAGGAGCGACCAGGTCTGGGAGCTGTTTCCACAGACTGCTACGTTAGAATTCACGATGCCAGCGTTTTACAAGTTCATATGATGGGGAATCATCACCATTTCATCAAAAGTCTCCTTTGGTGTGCGTCCTTTGAAATACAAAACCCGGATCACTGCGCGACACTCAACTGGCTCCATTTCACACTTGACTCGGTTCGAACACCTGTAGATCAGAAACCACAATTAGTTCAGAGCTGTTGTTTGCAACATAACCCATAGACATATAAATCATCACACATGCAAAATGTCATCTAGATCAGACAACTGGAAGTGGGTCAGGGGCATTACTTATCGAACGCCCCTCGCACAAAATATCAGAATTCCTTGAATCTCAAGTTTAATTCAATAACAATATTATTCATCACATGAAAATGCTATATTTGTTAAAATTGAAATGCCCTTGAAATTGAAGTATCACAAAGCCGATGAATAATATAACACTTAATATGGATTATAATAATGACAATATAATGAACGAGAGAGGTCGAAATAAAAGATCAAAGTTCGTGACCAGGGCGACATGGCTTAGTAGGACCTGTCTAGTAAACAGGTGATCTAGTAAACATATCAGATTAAAGAGAGAAATAACATATTTTTGCATGACATGACTGCGTAAGAGGAATTATTGGTATAACCGATGTAAAACTTGGCGAAGAAGGTTTGTCATGTCGTAACTTTGATGATCGTTTTGAAGTTTTATTTGTTCGTTCATTAATATACGTCGTAAATGTAAATGTTTTAGAAGCTGAAGGTACGAACGATAAATAACAATCTGTCAAATAATTACGAGGTCGATATTTTTAAAGGAGAGTGTTTATGCTAAAAATAAGATCATGAAACTCGTGAACATATTCCTAAGCGTTTCATTTAACCTTTTTACAATGGACATCGCAACAATATATATATTACATGTTTCTGTTTTTTAGCTGCATCATTTGCATTTTTAATTTCGAACTTTTTTAAATTGTGAAACATTTTTTTTGACTTAATATTTATTGACTAATTAATATTCATATAGCTCATTAATTTTCATGAGCGAACGGCACTCGCGTTGGTTGGCGAGAAGTATCACAATGTCGATGATTGTTATGATTCTCATATAACGCATACAAAATATCAGAATTCCACTTTCAAATCCAAGTTTAATTCAATAACAGTATTATTCATCAGATGAGCAAGCTATTATTGTTTAAATTAAAATGACCTGGAAATTAAAGTGTCACAATATCGATGAAGGTTATGACATAATAATGACCATATATTGTACGAGAGAGGTCGAAATGAAAGAGCTCCATAACTTACGTAGTTGTGTCAGGGAAACTGCTATTGACTGATAGATGATATTGAGATGAATATCGTGAAAAAAGCTGTAGATTTAATAATTCAATGATCATATTTTCACGATCTATCTCGCATACTCATAATCTTTAAAATAAATCTGTTTTTTTTTTAATTGAATGTTATTGATTGCAGTGCATTATAGTATCGATATATATAGCGACCACGAAAGCTCAAATGCGTAACCAGGGCGTCATGACTTGATATATTTCTGTAAGAAATTTGTTATTTTAATAAACAATTAAATTCATTACCCAATTATGTATTTGCCGGTGGATAACAGTTGATTTGGGGAATAGATTAAACATTTGCATTTTGTATGTTCACAAATTTGAAGGATTATCAAAAGTTGTATCCTATATAATAAAAAACGAATAGCAAATAAATAATAATAATAGTAAGTAATATATTTGTTCATTTGTACAAATACAAAAATTGCGTTTTATTTTTATGGATGTAAACCTAAAATTCCTGAATAGTTTGCTGTGACTTCAATACCAAAAAAATATTACAAACAACGTACCTGTTTTTTTTCTACCTAAATTGAGCTGTATTTCAGTGTAATCTTTGACAGTTGTGCTGATGGGTTTTCTTTGTATTAACATACTACGTCATCGCTGAATGTGTTGTAATAACATTGCAGTCTGTTTCGGTATGTGTCTCACGTGACCTCTGTAATTACACTGACCTAACGCAGTATGAACCAACGTTATTGATTGGTTGCACCACAGTTAATTAAAATAGCTTAATAAATACAGCTGTAAATGATGTCCGTTTCCACTGTCCGTTTCCACCGTCAGTCCCCGTATGTTGCCACAGTTGTTGCTGCAAGCCGACACTCGAAGTGTTTGGAGGATGTTTGTGGCGTTCTCTTGGCGATAATTGGATTGGAGAACACGGAGTTTAGGCCAGTCGAGCAGCTGCGGTTGGTGGAGCCAGACTGAAAATTCATATTAAAAGAGCCTGCCAGGTAAATGAACCATACGTGTAGTAGCGGTGTTTTTTGCTAAATAATCAACACTATGGACTGTATCCTTCGAAGCTTCATGTAGTGAATGACCCACACCTGTAAAAAAGGGTTTGGCATTTTTATGACATCAGATCCTCAACTGAACCATGAAATAATTTAGGGTGAAGATGGTCACAGTAGTAACTTTTTAAAATATTGACGACTTTCGCTGTCAGCATTTTGCTTTAAGATTAACGTTTAACGTTTAAATTCAAGATCCCATGTAGATTATTGTTAATAAATTAAATGCACAACAAATGTTAGGATTTATCATTCACAGCATATTTTTATTGAAATTATGCATATTGAAAATATGATATTGTAGCATAGAAAAAATAGGGAAATCATAGAAGCCTTGCCTTCCGGTAAATCACAGAACACGTTGATGCCTTTTAAGGTACTGCACTGAGAAAGATAATATTTAAACAAACAATAAGCTCGATTCCAGGAGGGTTGTATTTTTCTAATTACATGCACATATAATATAATCTCAGTGTCTAAATGAAGACTAAATCGTGGAATATGGACATTTTATTTTTGTAAATTTACTGTGTTGCTGCCTAATTGTTTGGGTAATCCATTGGGAATTTGTTAAAAATAATTACCTCACTTTTTGTGATGTAGATGATGGAAATTAATATCATTATTAGTCAAGAGGCTAATTATTATTAGTCACAGCACATGGAGTTGAACAAACTTATACATGTTAATACATTATTAAATAGTAAAATGTTATATAACTTTTCACTCTTTCCTTTATCACAACCTTTGTTACCCGCTAATGTTATATGCAAATTTTAATGCGCGATGTAGACACACCCTATTATAGTAAAATATCCCAAGGGTTGAAACGCGCCAGGACTGTGGCATAAAATCACGCATTCGAACCTTTCAAAGTTTGTTTTCTTTACATATATGGCATCTGTAGTGACATGGATGGCATTAGAAAGTGACACGAGTGCATTTCCACTTGAATATTTGTCAAATTAAAACTCATTGCGATCGAGCGACATGGCAGGAGCACAA